TACATAGACTGAGTGGATTAAACAACAAACGTCTATTTCTCAAAGTTCTGGAGGCTGGGAAGTCCAAGATCAAGGCACTAACAGATTCAGTGTCTGGTCATGGCCCATTTTCTGGTTCACAAATGGCCTACCTCTTGCTGCCCCCTCACATGGAGAAGAGGTGAGCAAGCTCTCTTAGGTCGTTTTTATGGGAACATTAACCCCTTTCACAAGAGCTACACTTTTGTGTGCTAACTGCCTCCCAAAGGCGCCACCTCCTGATAGCGTTACATTGGGGTGGAGGTGGGGTCAGGATTTCAACATGTGAATTTGGGGAGGACACAAAAATTCGGTCTATAGTAATTTGTCTCTGTACCGCCCCCAAATTCATGTCCTTCTTGCATGCAAAGTACATCCCCACGGCCCCAAAAGTGTTCTCATTACAGCATTAACTCTAAAGTTTACATTCAAGTCTCATTTAAATAACCTTTACTTCTGATATAACTAAGATTCAGGATACAATTCACCCTGAGGCAAATCCTTCCCCAAACTGTAGGCTTGTATAACCAAACAAGTTACGTGCTTTCAAAATATATGTTGCAATGGGTATTTAATAGGCACTCATATTCTGAAAAGAGAAATAGGAAAGAAGGAAGGAGTATTAGGTCCCCAGCAAATACAGAACCTAACAAGGTAAACTCAGTTAAACTTTAAGGTTCAGGGCTCCTTTTTGTCTTGATGCTCTGTGTTCCAGACCCACTGGAATAGCAACGTCACCCCCTCGGGCACTGTCCTTGCCTTGGCAGGACTCCACTCATGCTGGACCTCTCTGACACGGCCCCTGTCATATAATGGCTCCACTGGCTCATTCCATGCCACAGGTCTCTGTAGCTGCTGCCTCCCTTCCACTAAGGGAGTAGTCTGGGGTATCTTGGCCCACCTGAATCAGAGAGGCAGTCCCACCCTTTGAAACCTCTCTGCAATACCCCAGAAGAAGAGATCCAGCATTTTGAAGACATAGAAATAGAATCTAACTAGCTTTAACTGGTGTGTCTCAGTGGATTGAGCACTGGCCTGCGAACCAAAGAGTCTCCAGTTCAATTTCCAGTGTAGGGCACAGGCCTGGGTTGAAGGCCAGGTCCCCAGCAGTGGGTGTGTGAGATGCAACCACACATTGATGTTTCTCTCCCTTTCTCCCTCCCTTCCCCTCTCTAAAAATAAATAAATAAAACCTTTAAAAATATATTTTAAAAAAAGGAATCTAACTAAAGTATAGTATAACAATTAAAGAAAAAAACTAAATAAAAAATTTAAAACTTCCATAACTTGTAGAAAAATATCAAGCATCTAACATGCACATAATGGAAAGCCCATTAGGAAATGAAGAAAGGAGGGACAAAAACCTGGAAAAAAATAACATTAAAAATGTTTTCAAACTTAATAAGATTAGAGATCTACATATCTGAAAATCTCAATGAAGAGCAAGCAGAATAAACACCCCTCCCCCCAAAAAATAGTAGGGCACATCACAATCAAATTGCTTAAAATCAGTGGAAAGGAAAAATCATATAAAACATTATATTATGTGTTAGAGGGGACACTGTGGAGAATAAAGGCCATATTTCCTGCTCTAAGAAGATTGTTTTAATTTTTGGTTTACGTATAATTTTGATTTGCATGTGAGGTATCCAAATTTATCTGTGGTATTGGGAAGGCTGACAGGACCCAAATTCTGATGTGGTACAGAAATTTGTAGGACTGGTTCACCGATTGAGCATCATCTGAAAGCCAGATTTTAATGAGTTAACCCAGGAAAAAACTAAATTGAGAATCTTGCAAGTCATGCAAGGAAGAGTTCATCTGCACTAAATCGATAAAGAGGTAAAATAAGGGGTTTGGTAAGGGCAAAGGAAGTTTCAGAAACAACGCGGGCAAGAAATGTTCTTCTTTGAGGGAAGATCTGGAATATCACAGAATAAAAGATCCTTCAAAGGTAGTCAACATCAAGAAGGCAAGCTGGGAAGACAGATCATTGGGCCCTGTCAGGCATCTGTGATCTGCAAGTAGAACATTCCCCACCTGGAGACGGAAGTCTTTGTAGGCCATTCTAAAATGGCTCATCACGCCACATTTTTAGACCCCAAATCCTGAAGATTCTTGTTTCAGAAAGTTGTTTCTCTCTTGCTTTATCATTGCTATTTTCTCATGATCAAAAGACTTCTAACTAGCCAGTTTGATAGCAGTTTCTTTTTTCTTTTTCTTTTCTATTTTTTATTATTTTTTACATTTATATTTTTGACACGTTTGACAATATAATTGTTTTTCCCCACCACTTCTTCCCTCCACCCCACCCACCCCTACCTCTCATCCTCAATTCTACTCTCTTCTGGCTTTGTCTCTGGGTACTTTATACTTGTTCCTTGATGACCTTTCCCCACTTTCTTTCTTTGTCCCCCAACCTATCCTGGACAGAACTACCAAATGAACCTTTCCTAAACACTGTCTGCATTCGGTCTGTCCAAATTTCCTCAAAAACCTTCAATGCTTTACTGTTTCATTTTCTATCAAATGTGAATTGGCCTAGTTGTCAAGATTATCCAACATATGTCCTTATTAGATATATTTATTTCTATTTCTTCAATATTCAGTCTCTTATCTCTTCAGGTCCATATCTTCCTCCATCATTGTCATGCCTCTGGTCTACCTTTACTCACATTCCCCCTGCTCCCTCTTTTTCTCTCACTTATCCATCCTTCAAGTACCACCACCCACCTACCCATGAAAGTTTTGCTCATGGCTTTTTCAGCTTAAGGATTACCATAGAAGTCAAAACCTTGTTTATGTGATTTAATAGTTAATTTTTTTGTGCCATGGTACAACGTTCTAATAAATTATTTTATATTAGTATTTAATTCTTATTTATATGCTAAGTTAGGTTTAAGCCTATGACTAATCTGTTCTATAGTCGCCAATGCCTAATGGTTTTAAAGCACATAAAAGATAAATAATTGTTGATTGATTGACACACCAAGTTCACAATTTAAATAAACTGGCCAATGTAAATATATCTTCTCAGCTATCCTTATAAAGATGTTGTACTTAGTTATAATGACTTTTGATTCCAGAAACTAAGATATATGTAATCCAAGTTAGATAGCAAAGATCCCTAGTATTTTTTACATATAAAACTTTCCTGTAGTCAATTCCTAATTGCAGTGATTTAGAGGCTAAACTACAAAGTTAGATTCCTTAGTTTATAAACACAAATCTACTGATACTAAACTAAGTTCTAATGTTCTCTTTCAGTAGACAAGAAAGCCACAGACCAGAATGGTACGTCAGAAATATGATGAGCAATGATAATCACCTGTTAGGTGCTTGATATGCACATTCACCGAGAGAAAAGCCTTTGTCCCTCAACTAAACAGACAAATGTTCTTTAACAGTTTACTTCACCAATAGAGTTGTTTTTGAGAGGTTTAAATGATATTGTGACAGGATCTAGCGTGAGAATTTTCATTCTTCTCTTGAGTATAAAAAGTATTTAAACATTAATCATGTTCATAAAAACAATCTCAGTTTTAAAACATTACTTGTTACATCCCCAGCCTTTTAAAAACATATTTCTATTAGCTGCTTCTCTGTAATTATTCATATTCATATAAGGTCATGGAACTCAAATAATACACTAAAATTCAGGAAACCTACTATAAGTAGATTTCAAGAACTATGGCTTTATTAACATAGTCTACCTAGTCTTTGGTTTATATATTAAAATATCATGGTTGTTTGGAAGCAGCTTCAATAGCTCTCTATAGTTTCTAGCGCTGTGAGCTTTGTTTCCATGTTATGAAATGTAACACAATTTTGTGCCTGTCATGCATAGTTGATGGCCATAAAATATCATCATTTGTGTTTCCCACTATTAATATCTTGACAGAATTAAAGGATCGTTAGAAAGCACCAAAGACATGGTATGATTTATACTGAAGGAAAAAATGCAGTATCTATAGGCTTTCACATAGAATAGTTTTATTGTGGGTCATGCATTAAAGAATTACCAACCTCCTAAAACCCGAAAATGACACAGCTACAGTGAAAGTCAAGTTGGGTCCATTTTGACTGCCTCTTCTTCAAAGTATGTCAGGAATAGACTTACAATGTAACAGTCAATGAGATTGTGAGTTTTCCTTCCTTTCCTCAGCCATTACATAATGTAGCAATTTAGAAATGAGAGAATTACCATAGTTCTTAGTGTCTGCACCAAAGGAGATATAGAGAGCAGATATTGCATATTTGGATCTTAAGCCATCGGATGCACATTTTCTAAAATTTAGGCATATTGTGAAACTAATACACTCATTGGTGACTAGATTTATGAAAGTCCTGGCTTGCTATAGATTCTTTTTTATAAAGTAATCTTATCATACAGAAAAATGTTGCCCAAACACTCTCAATCAGAGGAACTCAGCCATTATACCAAAAAAAGAGGAAAAAATACAAAAGATAATTAAGAAGATCCCATTGATTGCACGAGGAAAGGAGGATGGGCGGAGAGGGAAGACGGCATAAGGGGGACAAATGTTAATAGAAAAAATACAATAAAAAAGAAAGAAAGAAGATTCCATTAGCCCTACTGATACATTTCCATGAGGACATAAACAAAACAAAGGAGCGTTTTTTGAGAAAACTTGTTAAATTCTTTTATTAAGCAATCCTGAAGCGACTAAATGAGACTAGTTAGGATCAGAGTTGGATTCTGTGACAATTTTCTCCCTTCTCTTGAGATATTTTGAGTACATTGCTCACCAAAATTAATTGTGTGAGGAATAACTGAGAAGGAAATAAAAGAAAGAAAGAATTCCTGCCAGTAGGCGGGGGACAGCAGAGGGTCCAGGACACAACTTGACAGCCAGTTACAGGTTTCTAAACGCAAACATTTTGTGTGAAATACTTTCATCAAAGAATATAAATGTAGAAGTCAAAGGACCATTTCATTCATTGTAGTGGAAACTCAGTACCTTGCCTGACCCCCTCTCCCTGATGAAGTTTGTGCCTTAATGTATAGCAACGTTTGTGATGTCCAGAGAGCAGTTCTGCCCAGTTCATGTCACCGTGGCCTCTTCATCTTCACATGCACTAGCTGGACACTCAGAGACATCATGGTTGTCGTGAAAACAATTGCTTGAACCTTGAGAGAAACAGTGAAAGAAAAGCAAACAAGGGCAAAGAAATAATTGCAAGATAATTCTACATTCTTTAAGACTAATAAAAAAATTGAATTAATAGTAAATTCTTTAATATCATTTACAGGATGCAAGCAGTAATATTAAAAGACAGAGAAATTACAACGTTAGTAAGGCAGTTACCAAAGGCGGTTCATTTGCTTCTATGATACACTAGTCATTTAAAACAGTAAGAATGAAAATATTTCACAATTATGAAAGGAAATTGTTCAAATTAGATTACTCAAGAGTTCACAGGCCTATTCTAGTGTCATTCTATAAGTAATAATTTCACAGAGGTCAGGTGGAATTTGATAGGAAGACAGAAATCACTGCATCCGTGTCTGGCGTCTGCGCTGCCCTCTGTAATGCATCTGCCCTTCGTTACATGATACAGAGAACAGTCACTTTCCAGGGGGCTGGTACGGAGAAACCTGAAACCTTGTGAATGAAAATAAGAATACTTAATTTGAAAGAATGAGAGATAAATTTAGACATTTGATAGTGTTTATTAATATTAGGATCTAATAGATTATAAGCATCCTGTGATAAAAAAAGTGAAAAAGTTTTTAAATATGAAAACTGAGATTATACATAGTCAAAAAAACCCACAATGCAAATTGTTTTTTATAGACAAGAAGGGATATTGTGGCCTAATCCATGTTTTTCTATGTCCCTCATATGTGGTCTTATAATCTATAATGTAGTTCAATTAGAAGGTCACATTTACTGCATTTTATTCCTATATTTAGCTATTGTTTGATGAATTAATTGATAGTGTAGTGTTCAATGTTACGGTTCCCTTACTTACCTTTCCAGCTACATCCCCAAAAGACAGAATTGATTCATTGGTATCAAGAGGATCATACCAATAATCCATGCAAACTGGTGTTCCTTTCAGGCCTTAGAGTTTATATTGACAGGGAAATCCTTCTTTGGACAGCAGATCGTAGAAACAAATCTCTTTACTTGTAAAAGCCACCGCTGTGTAAAGTAGCAAAGCAGAAAGTCAGAAAGCATTTCTGATGGAATTAGTGAAATCAATATGCAAAGCAGACATTTTCCTTGAGGAAAATGATTCTTAAGAGCATTACAGAAGTATAGCATGGTGCACAAATGTGTTTTATTCTAACTTTGGACACTAACCAAGAAAAAAATACTTCTCATTGAAGTCATTTGAACATTCTTGTCTGTCTTCACTTTATACACCCACCAACTTCCATCCATGGAGACTAGATGACTAATCACAAAGGAAAAATAAAGACACAGAGAGCTACAACTTCACACAGTCATACCAGAGACATTTCAAACCATGTTTCACAAAGCAAGCAGAAGCTTTCACACAAATCAATTGATTAAAATTTGGTAAGAAACATCCCTAAGTCATATAATATCCTAAAATTTATTTTTAAAGGGTAAATGAATTTGTCAATAAAATGGACAAAATTCACCTAAACTAACTCAGAAATAAAAGATACACATTACTAAAATCATAAATAAAAGAGTGAATATTATTATCAACTTTATAGAAATAAAAAAAGATTCTAAGAGAATACCATGAACAATTGTATGCCAACAAAAAATTTTGACGAAATGAATAAATTCATAGAAACACATAAACTATGTAAACTAACTCAAAAGGCATACAAAAACTCAGCAGATGTATAAGAAGTAAAGACACTAAATTAGTAATCAAAAAATTTCCATGAAGAAAATCCCAGTTCCAGGTGACTTCACTAATAAATTTGACCAAACATTTAAGGAATCAACAAGAGTCCTTCTAAAACTCTTCCAAAAAAAAAGTGGAAGAAATACTTCACAAATCATTTTATCATGACAGTGTTATCCTAATACCAAATCACACAAAGACATCACAAAAAAAAAGGCAGATCAATTATCTCTAATAAATATAGAAGTAAAAATCTTTGAATAAATATTAGCAAACTGAATCCAACAACATATAAAAAAGATGACACATCATTACCCAGTTTTGTGTAAATATATATGTGCGTGTGTGTGTATATGGTCTGTCCAGAAGGTATACAGCCATGTAATGTTAAAAATAGAGACATTTATTGAAGAAGATATAAGATACAAGAAACATTGTATATAGGACAATGATGCCTAAGTCCCCTTCAAAGTAGGTACCTTGGGACCTCACACATTTCTTCAAATCATCATCAGCTACCCTGTCATATTTCCCTGAATCTCATCAATGCTCTGAAATTTCTTCCCTTTCAAAGGTGATTTTAGTTTTGGGAAAAGCCAGAACTCACAAGGCACCAAATCTGGGCTGTAGGGGGGCTGAGTCACCTGAGTGATTCAATGCTTTGTCAAAAAACTGCATGAGATTTGAAGCATGAGTGGGTGTGTTGTTGTGATGAAGCTGCCAATCACCAGTTGCCCATAGCTGTGGCCTTCTGAATCATTTGAATAGTTCCTATGGAGGAATGTTCAAGCTTAATGCAAGATTTATTGCCCTACTCACTCAGTCATTTTGAATGCAACGGCCACACAGTACACATGCTCACGCAATGGCATCTACCTAGTACAGTGAAGTTATCATTGTTCATGCATGTGTTCTCCTTCGTTGCCAAGTTATATCCATGTCACTCAAACCATTCTCATTATATGAACAATGGCTGGAGTATTTTCAGGACAGACCTTGTATATTAAGAATGAAAGATTAGTTTAACATACAGGTACAATCAATGTAATACAACATATTAATAGAATAAAGGACAAAACCTGTATGATTATCTCAATAGATACAAAAAAAGCATTTGATAAAATCCAAACATTTTTATAATAATTCTTACCAAACCAGGAATAGAAGAGAACTTCTTTAACCTAATAAAGTGCATGTACCAAAGAAAAACAAAATCCACGGCTGATATGATAATTGTGAAAACCTGAGTATATTCTCCCTAAGATCAAGAACAAGATGAGAATTTTTACTCTTAACACTTTATTCAACACTGTGCTGAAGTTTCTAGCCAAGGGAATTACGCAAGAAAAATAAATAAAAGCATCCAGATTGGAAAAAGAGGATTTAAATTATCTATGTTAGTAGATGGCACGATCCTATATACAGGAAACCCTAAAGAATGAACAACTAACAACAATGACAATAACAAAAACAAAGATTAGAACTAATAAATAAGTTCAGCTAAGTTGCAGGACATAAGATATTTTTTAAAAAATCTACTGCATTTTATATACTGGCAATGAGCAATCTGAAAATAAAATTACCAAAAGCAGTGTTGAAAAAATGGAAACACAAAAAACATACAGGAATACAATATTTGTAAAGTGTTCATTTGATAAATGTATAAACCTAGAATATATAAATACCTGCTCAACCTTAATAGTAAAAAAATTAACTCAATAAAAAATAAACAAAAGATTTGAACAGATATTTCACCAAAAAGGATATACAAGTAGCAAATCAGTACATGAAAATATACTCAATATTATTAGTCATCAAGGAAATTTGAATTAAACTCACAGTACAATAAAATACAAACCTATTCAAATGGCTCAAATTAAGGAACAAAAAACCTGACCATACCAAGTATTGGTGAGGATGTGCTATATCCATACAGTGGAATATTACACACCAATACAAAGATAAACTACTGATATACCCAACAACATGGAAGTATCTCAAAATAATTTAGCCAAGTTAAAGAAGCCAGACAAAAAAAAGTATACACTATGATACTGATTATATTAAAGTCTATAAAATGCAAACTAATCTACAGTAACAGAAAGCCTATCTGTGGTTACCTGACAAGGAAAGATGGGAGGAATTGGAGGGAAGATTACAAAAGATATGAGGAAAGTTTTCAGGGTGATGAATATGTTCATTATCTTCATTGTACTCTTGAGTCTACACAGGTATATAAATGTATTAAAATCTATTAACTTTGATACTTTTAATATGTGTAATTTATTTTGTGTAATTATACTTCAATAAAGCTATTTTTAAAAGGAACTAAAAGCAACATTCTTGAAGCTTCTATGTTGAGTAAGTACAAAGGAAAGGCTAAGATTTATCAGTCCTGGAAAGGAGAAACAGAGCAGCATAATCATTACATAATATAGCAACACAAACATTACAGTATAAGAACAGAATGCTGCACACAGGCATAAAAAAAAATCTGAACTAGAACTATATTTTAAGCCATACCAGTTAAGCATTAACACCAGGTCCTCAGCAAGAAGGAACAAGATATGATGTTAGTTGACACTATGGAGGCAGCGAAGGCTGCAGCTCAGGTTCTGAAATCAGGCTGCTTCCCTTTACAAATCTTGCAACACTGATTACATCCTGTGTGACTGGGGCAAACTTCATAGCCTCTCCTTGCTCAGTCTCTAACTGTTAAAGTGGGTATAATATCCACTTCATGGTAATATTGAGGGGATTAAGAGAAAAGAAAAGGATGTGTCACATAGGAAGCTAATGAGGACGGTAATTCTTAACGGTTCCATGAAGTAGAGAACACTATTTCCCACTTAAAAAAGAAAAAAAAAACTTTGCTCTTTGGAGAAATGGCTGATTCTGGGTCTAGCATAATAAATATAGGAGATGAGCCTGGAACATCTGTCATACCAGAAGGCAAAGAAGTTTTCAAAGACTCTTAGGGTTATATCAAAAAAGACTCAGAAGCAGACATATATCAGTTCCACTGACCAAAAATGGTACAATTTTGGGCATGGAATAATAACTCAGTGAATGGACACAATTTAAATTTGTTTAAACCCATGAGTTTGTAATGATATTGACAACAACAATGATAGTAGTACTCATGTTTTATCTTCAGAGGACATTAACAAACCAGCTCAATATTTTGAATACTGGTAAATAAAAGTAAAGAATTAGGCAATTTGTACTACATGATAGCTAAATACTTGACAGGGGAATTTCTTTTTATAGAGGTATTCCAGTTTATAAAGGAAAAAGAAATGATGGAACTAATATGTCATCATGTTGCAGCTATCGCTGTTAACATCCCAAGAAGAGAGAGAACCAGGACTCCTGCACCTCCTGATTGAGGAACACCTATCAGAGCTTTAAACTTAACTGCCCGTTTACTTGAAACACAGAGAACAAGTGGACATGTTAACAGCCCCAGGTAAATATAATCTGTAGATCTAGAGTGCGGAAAAGTCTAAAGGACAGATATCTAATTTCTTTAACAAAATATCAACCAGCAACAATAAAAAAAATGCAAGAATAAAGAAGAGGCAAAGGAAAATGTGTAGATCAAAAGAGACATATCAACTATTTACAATGTTTGAACTTTATTTGGATCTTGGTTCAAACTAACTTTCAATCAATCAAGTTATAAACTATTGAAAATCATAAGATTAGGAAATATGAACATGACTGAATATTTGATGATATTAAGGAATTATTGCTATTTTTATTAAATGTGATAGCAGTATTATGATTATACTAAACAGAGACACATTTTCAAAGTATCAAATGTTTACAGGTTAAATGACTGGATGTTCTGGATTTCAACAGAGAGGAGATATAGATGAAACAAGATTGACTGTGATTATAAAATGGTTAAGGGTGGACATTGGTTCTTAATACTATTATTCATGTTTGTGCATGAGTTTAAAATTTTTCAAGGTGAAGTTTGCCACCTATTTAATATGAAAATATGAAGAACCTAAATTCTTTAAGCTGCCTCCTTCTCATAAATTGATTTTCCTTTCAGTATTTTACCTTGTTCATAGGCATAGTTATATAAAGATATTTGGACTGAGTGGGCCACACACGTTAGAATTCAGAAAATGATTAGTACAGGGGTCAAAATCATCAAAATGAGACAGGCAGCTCCCCGTAATTGCACTCAGTTGTGCCGTGCATTGTAGAGCCCCTCAGATCTGCATACAGACCCATGATTCTGCTGCAAACTATATAGTCATAAAGTTCTCATTAGCTGGTAATGCAGCATGACCACACTTGGGGCAAAGCCAAACATCTGAGCAGGTATCAGCCGTGTCATTTAAAGGCACACAAGAGAATGGCTTGGAAAATAGAATAGCTCCCTTGCCTCTACTTGTATTCCCTCGAAGTCAGGTTAGAGGCCCAAAAGAGCAATGCAACCCTCTGTTCCTGCTGGTGTTATACTTCATACTGATCTGGACCCCTGTCCCATCGTTTGCCCTGCATACAAGCAGTAAATTCATTTCTAAAAGTTTGTACCTTGTTTACGTTTTCCAGAGAAACCAGACTTGTCGCCCACAGATGTTTAAGCTTGGCAGCATCCGAAGTGACAGGAAGTGCTTCTTGCAGCTTTAAATTCTCTCACCAGATTCTTAATAAACCTTCCTTGCTGACGGTCAAATAACAACTTGAGCTTTTTAAGATTAGTACTTTTTGAATGGTGTCCTTGTGTTTCACTGGGAAGAATTCAAGGTCTTTCCCCAGGGGAGTCACACAGTTGCCTTTGCTCATTCATCATTCTCATACAGTGTTAACAGCATAAATGAAGTCAACTTGTCCCAATTAATGAAGCCATCTTGGGCCACATCCACTTCGTCAAAGAGTTTCCCATATTCTTCCTTTGTGCCCCAACTGACAGTCCTCATCCTCTGCATAAACTCTTCTCTGGTCATACAAGTGATTTGACTTGGCTCTGGGTGCTAGAAAATGGGAGAAAAACAAGACAACAGTGAAGGCATCATAAGTGCCAGAGCATTGTGCTACTGCCCAAGGTTGATCTAATCAGTGATCCTTCGAAGGTGCAAAGAAAATTATCTCTTACTTTCTAGCAGTACTAAAGTGAATTGGTGCTGGGGAGAAAATATTGATCAGGCTACAAGCAGACATTCTCAACAACAAATGTCCTTGTAAGTGCAAGGGGGAGACAAGAGAGTCAGATTTGATATGATGAGCGAAGCACGGGTCAGAGCAATGCATGGCCATGGGCAAAGGAATGCAGGTGGCCTCTAGAGGCTGAAAAAAGGCAAAAATTTTTATTCTTCTGCAGAGCCTACAGAAGAAAGACAAGTCTAACATCGCCTAGATTTTATCTCTGTATAACCTAGTTTGGAATTTCTGACCTCTGGAACTATGAGATAATAAACTTGAGCATTTTAAGCTACTGAATTCATGGTAATTTGTTATAATATCCATAGGAAGTTAATACAGTGGTTTACAGAAAATGGGTGAATCCCTGAAGAAAGTTTAGCACAACCAGTTAATTACACAACGGTAGAAATTTAATCCAAGGGCAAGAAGTACACTTCTGTAAATATACACAAAGAAAAGTGAACCCATATACAGTTGATTTTTGTTACTCGTGGTAGTTACTTTTTATAAAGCCTCTATATACACAAAAGCAGCAGGTACTGAGCCACTGCTCCTAGAGAAAAATACAAGGTTAGGTTTCTTTGCACAGTATTTTTATCAATTGATTAACTCATAATTATGAATTATGTATGTTTTGGTTGAAAGACACCTTATTTAATGTATATTTTTAACTCATGACTGAATAAAATTTATCTAACACATGCATTTTCTTTATAAGGCACATCACAGTCTTCTTGCACTGGGAAACACTAGACAGCACTTTAGGACTACTTTTGGGTGCCATTTTAAAGAGTGAAATCACCAACAAGAAGCATAAAATGCAAGAAAAAAAACTTGGCTCTAAATAGACTACAAATAAGACACTTTTTTTTTAGTTTAAAATAATAGAATAGTATTTCAATTTTATTTGTATTTTTGATCATTTGTGAGAACAACATATTTCATCAATTTTTACCTTTTCTCATAACTGACTCTTAATATATGGGCCAGCATTTTTTTCATCATTTATCTCACTGTCTAGGTTTTTTTTTTTTTGCTTTTATTTTTTTAATTTATAAATCATGTTTATTCTATTACAGTTGCCTCACTTTTTCCCCCTTTACCCCCCTCCACCCACCCCCCCATCATCCCCCACAGTCAATTCCCACTCTGTTGTCCATGTCCATGGGTCATTCATACATGTTCTTTCTCTAGTCCCTTCCCCTTCTTTCCACCATTGTCCTCTTTCCCCCTCCCCTCTGGTCACTTTCAGTCTGCTCCATGTTTCCGTGCCTGTGGTTTACTTTGTTCATTAGTTTATTTTGTTGAATAGAATCCAGTTAGAGGTGAGATCATATGGTAATTGTCTTTCATCAACTGGCTTATTTCACTTAGCTTAATATTCTCCAGTTCCATCCATGTTGTCACAAAAGGTAGGAGTTCCATCTCTCTCTCTTTCTTTCCTTCTTAAATTGCAAATTGATTTTATTTATTTTTTTAATGTCAAAGTTAATTATAAAATATTTTTAAAAATTTAAAACCATTATAAAGTCTCAGCAATTAAACCAACATTACACCAGCACAGAAATAATCAAATAGATCAATGAAATATAATGAACATTCTAGAGACAAATGTATATATCTGATTAATAGATGTATGATTAAGTTGATATTTCAAATAATGGGTAAAATAAGGCTTATTCAACAAATAAGGTCAATGGACCACTATTACTTGAAATAAAACAAATATAGAGCCCTATTTCACACATTATACAAGAAATATTCAGGTGAGTTAAAAATTAATATGTAGAATCTAAAGAGTTTTAGAAGAAAACAGAACTAATATTTTTCATGACCTGAAGTAAAATATTCAGCCCCAGAAGCTATAAAGTAATATTGACAATATGACTATATTAAATATTTAACTATAGAGCAATATACATATAAAAAAAGTTAAAGGGCAAGGAATAGAATAGAAAAGTATTTGCAACACATCTAAAACATGGTTAATGGGTTTGGTTTTTTTAGGGAAAAAAGATCTACAAACCTTTAATCAATAAATGGATAAAGAATACCAAAAAGTCATTTAAAGCTTTTTTAAAAAAAATAATAGTAATAAGCAAGAAATATACTAAAACAGGTTTAGTTTCAACAAATAGTAAAGGAACAATTAAAATAACATCATTGTCACAATCAGATTAATGAGTATTAAAAATATTGGTAATATCAAGTATTGGCAACTCTAAAAGGAACTGGGTATTCATAGAAACTTTTTATTCATCTTAAAGCAGTCCCTTTAGCATATTTTGCAGTGCTGGTTTGGTGAAGGTGTATTCTTTTAGTTTTCTTTTGTCTGGGAAACTCCTTATTTTGCCTTCCGTTTTAATTGAGAGCCTTGCTGGGTAGAGCAGTCTTGGTTGCAGGCCTTTGCTTTTCAATACTTGGAATATTTCTTGCCAGTTCCTTCTCGCTTGTAGTGTTTCTGTTGAGAAGTCAGATGCTAGTCGTATCAGGACTCCCTTTATGTTACTACCTCTTTCTCTCTTGCTTGCTTTAAGATTCTCTGTTTGTCTTTGATATTTGCCATTTTAATGATGTGTCTTGGAGTGGGCTTCATTGGGTTCCTCTTGAATGGGACCCTCTGTGCTTCCTGGACTTGTGTGACTTTTTCTCTCCTCCAATTAGGGAAGTTTTCCATCATTACTTTTTCAAACAGGTTCTCTATCCCTTCCTCCTCTTCTTTTCCTTCTGGTATCCCTATTACATGGATATTATTACGTTTCAAGTTGTCCTGAATGTCTCTAAATGCCTCTTCATTCTTTTTTAATCTTTTTTCATTTTCTTCCTCTTTCTGGGAGCTTTTTTCTACCTTATCCTCCAGCTCGCTGATTCGGTCCTCAGCTTCCTCTGGCCTGCTTCTGATTCCTTCAACTGTGTTTTTCAATTCAGAAATTGTATTCTTCATTTCCTCTTGTCTCTTATTGATAGTTTCTATGTCCTTTTTCATGCTGATATAGTTTGCAATAAGTTCCTCATAGTTTCCCTGTAGTTTTTGGTAATTCTCTCTGAGCTCACTGAGCTCATTGAGCTTCCTTAGAACCGTTGTTTGGAACTCAATATCTGATAGTTTACTTGCCTCTATTTCATTTAGTTCTCTTTCTGGGGATTCCTCCCTTCCTTTTGAGTGGGGCGTATTTCTTTGTCTTCCCATTATTTGATACTCTTCTCTTTTGCTGCTCTTTATTAAGTTGATCTGTCTTGATTTCCTGACTTTGTGGTATGAACTTCTGTGGTTGGAGACCACTGCTTTTACTTTCTGGATCTGTCTCTGATGATGTCAGATGTCGTCCCTGTCTGACCTTAGGCAGGCTGTTCGAGACTTCCAGGAATCTACTGTTTGTGGCTGTCTCCTTCAGCTGTTAATCTAGTCATTCTGCACTCAGCAGGGCACCTTAGACAGCTCAGGGCAGGATGGAGTCCCTCCTGGGGGCAGGGTTGTTGGGTCTTCTCACACTGCTGCCATATGGGGGAGGAGTCAGCACTGGGATCCTGCCAGCTACTCTCTCCCTTCTCTCCCCAAAACCTCCGTTCACAGTCTCTCCTCAAGTGTCGCCAGCCCTCTCTGCATCCCCTTTAGCCAGGGATCTACGGTCTGTGGCTGCCACTCTGCACTCAGCAGGTGGCTTAGACAGCACAGAGTTGGGTGGAATTTCACCTGGGGGTGGGACTATTGGGTCCTTTGACTCTGGTGCCGCTCAGGGGGTGTGGTCTCTGCCTGAGCAAGATGGCTGCTGCCACATGGGGGAAGAGTCAGCACCGAGATCTCACCGGCTACTGTCTCAGTTCTCTCCCCACAGCTTCCTTCCCCAGTCTCTCATCGGTGTCTCTAGCCCACTCTGCCCCACCTTTGCCAGAGACCACGGTAAGTAGCTATAAATGAAAATTTATGCATTGGCCCTTTAAACAGTTCTTTTCATCTTCAGCCACCTGTCTCTGGTAGAGAGCAACACTGCCGTTTCTTGCAGCTGGCTGTTTTTTGTGTACTTTTTGGGCTCTGGTGTTGTAGGCTAGAGATCCCCGCTTTTGGTTTAGACCCCCCTCTTCTCAGGGGAATCCAACTGGCCGTTCCAATATCCTTCTGGTGCTGCTGCCCTTGGGCACCCTGCCTGCCTTCTCAGGTCTGTACCGCACTCCTTACCAGTTAGATTGCGCTAAAGCCGATTCTTCTGTTTCCGAGGTTGCAAGGCTCCTCTCACTCTTGTTCAGTTGTTTGTTCCAGGTGATTGCTCTACAATTTAGTTGTAATTCCAGGTTGGTCCTGGGAGGAGGTCAGTGTGACTTCCACTCACTCTTCCGCCATCTTGATTCTCCCAAATAAGACATTTTTTTAAAGTAAGAGAACAGAAATAAGAAAGTAAAATATTACCTTGTTGGACCTCAGCCTGGAGTATGCATATTGCAAGAGTAAAGATTTTTGCTACTCTGTATGTGTCTATGAACATTCATAAAATTGCCTTAAGTTGAACACAGGAATACATATATCTTTGCAAATAAATATTTTCAAGTTTTTTGGTGATATACTCAGAAGATGGATTGCTGAGTCATATGGCAATTCTATTCTTAAGTTTTTGAGGAAATGCCATACTAGTTTCCAGAATGGCTGCAAATTTTAGCAAGTAGGCAAATTCACAAATACAGAATTTATGAATAATGAAAATCACCCAATTTTCAAGAAAGTACATAGTTTAATATTGATGAATTGTTTAGTTTGGTGAAATTCATGAGAAAATCTACTTTCCCTATTACTTCAGAGCCAAAAAGTCAGGATTGATTGAGAGTTAGTTCTGGAAGG